AAAAAAAAAGAAATTCTGGTTTTGAACTAGTAGAACTCAGTGCAGGTTAAAAAAAATAAAAAGTATCTTAGTAAGCACCATGTTTCAATAAAATTTACCCTTTTATGTGCAAAAATGTAACATCTCTTTGTTTTTATTTGCCAGGGACCAGTACCTGTTTAAAAACAGACCCACAGATGGCCCTCCGAATTCATTTTATAGATCACTATACCCAAAGATTATTCAGGACATAGAGGTAACTTGATGATTTATCTGTTTTATGCACTTTTTATATCTTGTTCTCAATCTTTTGTGTTTACTTAGAGTGTTCTTTTGTTTTCAAATCATGGAACTAGTATTTTTTTTTTAAGTTGTGTTTTTGGGGTAAATATCATAATGTATCATCTGCAGGTATTCAGAGTAGTTTATGTTTTTTGTAAGACTTAATGTTCCTAAGACATGAAACCCTTCTGAAAGGTTACCAGTTAATTACTAATCCAAAAATAGCTTTTTAATTTGATAAATGTTCTAAAACTCAAGATGTAATTTTTTTACAGTAATCATAGTTTTAAATTTTTGAGCTATCTCTTGAGAAGAATTTTCATAAAAATGGTTCAGAAATTATTTTGGATATTAGTTAAGTGGGTTTTAGAAGAGATTATGCTCCTAAACCATATTGGCTGTAAATGTAACTTTCCCAGGCCAGTAAAACTCTGTTAACTTGATGAGAAACATTAGAGATGTTTGATATTGTTCATATGTTCTAATTAGTTTGGTTTTATTATTGAGCCCTTTCCCCTGAACCAGGAAAGACATGCACAGGCATTTCTCATTAACTCTTTCACATGTGTTCCTGGCTGGTTTTGGTTACTTCACTGTTTCCTTCTTGGCAGAAAAGTTCAACCTTCACTAGGCAATGCTGTGTCTCCCATAAAGTTATACTCAGTTTCCCAAATGTGAAATAATTGTCTCCCCCAGGTGATAGACATAAAAGTCATTGTGCCAAAACTCATTAAAGGAGAAACATGTGTTTTTTAAAATCCTGTCTCCTCCCACACCTCAGCCCCACCTTTTTGGTCAGATGTGAATAAATGAAACTATTCTATTAGCGGTGAATGAGATTTTGACTGGAATATCATCATTTAAAACATGTTTTTTTTTTTTGTTGTTGTTGTTGTTGGTGGTGGTAGTGTTACTGTTTTTAGTTATTTTTATTTTTTTTGAGTATTCTGCTCTCTAAAATGACCCAGAATGTAACCTTTCAAGGAGAGTTAAATAGTAGAAAATCATAAAAGTTTAGGGTTTAATGGATCTATTGGCATGTAAAACTTAGAAAAAAAAAAAAAATTGTCCTTGCAGCTAGTAGATTTTGTTTGGTAGGTGAGATGTAGGGTTAATTTTATTTGTATTTTAAAAAATGAATTTAGCTTTTATTCAAAATTAAGTAAAAGCAAAAATTTTAAGAAACTTTTACTAATTGTTTATATAAAAGAAAGTTAATAGAGACAGCTAGAAGTTGGCAACAAATTATTACAAAGGTCTCTAGGGCAGCATGAAGATAACCATGTTGCAGTGTAGTGATCTAACTGTGATATGAATAAGGCATAACTCACATTTGCACCAAGAATAAAATTAAAAACAAACTTTAAAAGCTTAGTTCTATGTTAAACTTCTTCTCTTCCCCTGGTCCTTAATGGGTTTATGCTATTTGATTCTTAAACACATCATGTCAAACTGTAAATCACATAAATAATTTTAGATCAGTTTATGTGTGTTTCATGGGAGAGGGGCTGTGTCTTACTGTTTTTCTTTTTTTCTTTTTGTGGAACCAGGGATTGAACTCAGACCCTTGCACTTGCCAGGCAAGCACTTATTCTACTGAGCCATCTCCCCGGCCCCGTGTCTTACTGTTAAGAAAACTGCTTGTATATAGGTTTTAGATATATATTATCTGCTGTTCTTTTGTGAGGGGGCAATACATTCAAAGGATCTCCAAGTTTCCTTTAATGATTTTATCAGGTTGTTTATTTGAAAAGCAAAATACTTAAATTCAGTCAGAAGTAGTAAACAGAAACTCTGGAAGAACTTGTCAAATTGAAGATTTGGTGACATGGCTTATTTTATTTAATCCTCATGATTACTATTATAATCAACAGTAAGAACTCAGTATCCTGTGGTACGACGGTATATGACACCACATACCATAACTGTTTCCTTAGGCTAAAATAATATTTTGTAATGGAGGAGGCAGATGTGAGGGGAAACAGAGCTAAGGGGGAAAAATCCTGTTTGATACAAAACTTTTGCATCATGGTGGTCTTCCTAGTGGTTCTTAAAGTGTGGTTTAGGAAAACCCACTGGTTGGCCACAAGTGTCTCCTCCAGATTTTTGTGGGCTAAGTTTCTTAGTATAAGGAATGATGAATATACTTTAGTATATTCACTAATAGTAATAGTAATAGTGACAAAAATGATGTACCACTAATAGAGCATTTTTTTTGTGCCAGATAATTTGTTTAAAATTTTGTAATACATTTTCTCAATGGACATTCTGGCTAAAGCCCAAAAAGTAGGTCAAGTCCTTGTTTAAAGTTGAAATATAGATTCAGAAAAGTTAAAAGAATTGCTCTAGGTGACATAGAGAAATTGTCACAAACTTGGCTCTGCCCATATAGCTGGTATAAAACTCTCATAAGCTGACTATAACAATAGGCACCCTGTTTTGAGCCCCTGTGGTATACCAGGAACTATGTCGGGTGATTTGCATAGATTATTGCATTTAAGTTTTACAGCAATGTATATATTATTACCCTTATTAATATAAGAGGAAACAGATTAAAAATTTAGAAGTTGCTACATAGTAAAATGGATGAGATTTTAACTGAGATCTTTGTAGCTCTAGGCATACAGTTGTTATTTTCAAAGTGGAAAATTCAAGAGGTAAGGAGACTTTTTTTTTTTTTTTTTTTCTGGAACAGGGGATTGAACTCAGACCCTTGTGCTTGCCAGGGAAGTGCTTATTCTACTGAGCCATCTCCCTGGCCCCAAGAATGTTGTTTTATGTCTACAAAATTTCAGTTTGGTCTTCTCATCTTCCTCCAAGTGTAAGCATACTCAGTGACCTTGACTATTAGTTGAAACAGGCTATGAGTTAAGATAAGATTAGTTGGCCTTATTTTAGTCTAGTTACAGGAAAGGTGCTACTTTAAAGCATTTTAAGTACATTGCCAAAGGCTAAATTAACACCCGGCATGTCAAGTGGATGTTTATGTCCTCCCCACCCCTCCCTATTACCCATTTACAACCTAAGAGGTGAGCATTGTTATAACAGACTAATGTCCTGAATTAGATTTTTCTCTTTTGCTATTTTAGTGTAGTGACAAATTCCTGCATGTGCTATATCTCTATTCCTTGCTTTACTCACTGGAATAAAGGCTTTGAAGCATTCTCCTTGGAACAGACTATTGGGAAAATGATGGTGTATTATATCACACCTTTTAGTAAACCACATTATATTTAGAGAAAGTAGGGAGCTTTTTTGTGGTTTGAAAACTTGATATTAACATTGTCCTGACCAGAAAATGCTGAAACTTGCCCACCCACCCAGTTGTGTTTAGGCTTCTAAAAATAATGTTATTCCTTCAAACTCAGACATCTGTTTTCACTCTATTGCCAATTTAAATGCTGCTGTATACTCTGTGTATCATGGCTACTTTCCCAGTATTTTGAAAATTTGCGCTGGGTAAGGGGATTTTATAAGTTCTCAAAAACATGAAATACTCCCCAACAGTAGCTGTACCACATGCTGGCTAAGTGAGATGGCAGGTACCCACATAATTAAAGAAGTGCACCTGAGTGCCTTCTTGGGCCTACAAGTTGCTCAGGTGATCAACATTAAATATCCACTGAGACAATGATTCCTGGCAATTTGAAGACGGTGTTGATGGTGCTGGTAGGGTTTTGTTTTGGGGTAAGGGTTGGGCTTTGTTTTGTGTGTGTGGGTTTTGGTCACAGCCACTGTTTTTGTCAGTATTCTCAGTGGACACTATGAAGAACACTTCACATAGGCTACCTTACTTGATCTTTACAGTGGTTTGAAGGTGTAAATGTTACAGTTCCCATTTTTACAGAGGAGGAAACTGCTGCTCAGACTGTCTGAGTCACTTGCCAAGACAGCTGCTTGACCTGGGTATTTTCTGCCACAATGGGCTACCTGCCAAGCTTCAAGATCTGCTCCCCAACTCCATCAAAAAAAAAAAAAAAAAAAAAAAAAATCAGGCTGAGAAGCATTCAGGGAAAGGTTGGGGTTTTCACACGTGGTGGTAGTATTTTGGGCAGGTACAATCAGCAGCAATTGATGCTGTGTTCTGTGGGTGGCCTTGGGAATCAAGGAGAGCACAGTCTCAGGAATGCCTGGGTGGCTGCACAGCTAGCTAGGAGTCCCTGATCTGCTCCAACAACTTTCACTTGTTTTAGGATTTAGGCCCCTAATGATTTCTAAAAAATGTTTTAATTGAAAAAAAAATTAGATTGTAGTACTGGAAAGTCAAACCCAGGGCATTGTGCCTGCTAGCCCCAGTACTCTACTCTTAATGATTTTTTAAAATAGCCCTAACTGGAGACTTCCTTACCTGCCCTGCCCCAACAAGGATTATTTATGTTTTGGGTTTTTTTTTTTAAATTCAGAAGTGTAGTTTAGGAAATTAGGCTTTTTATAAGCATTGAGAAGCTAATTTTATTTCTTGACTTCCATTCAACTGAGGATCAAAGTGCTATATTTAATAGAGCTTTTATGAAGTCCCATCCTCTAGCTCTTGTTTAAGGGTTAGAAGTAGTTGGTACAATCCAGCCTATAATGTCAGGAGATATTTTCTGTGCACGTGTCTCGGGGACTGATAACATCACAAACTGAAAGTGTGGCCTGGGGTCAGGGAGATGGCTCAGTGGAATAAGCGCTTCCCTGGCAAGCGCAAGGGCCTGAGTTCAATCCCTGGTTCTGACCCCCCCTCAAAAAAAAAGTATGGCCTTACACCAACACCTCTTGTTAGTGCTCTCTCATCTCTTCAAGGCTTTATGTGCAGTAAAAGATCACAATCAACTCACCCAGCTTTAGAAAACATAAGTAGAAGAACAGGAAATTTCCCCTATTTTTAAGTTAAATTTTTTTTTTTCTTTTAAACTTGTATGTCTTTTTCTATTCATTGACGGAGCATATAGTAAGAAAACTACTTACTAATTCAGTAACATTTTAGAGAATTTTGTATGTTTTAAACCAAAGAGAAGTTATATGAATTTAAAAATAGCACCTAACATATGTAAGATAGGTTATATATTAATCTTTGTAATACTTTGGGTTCATATAGAGTCGTACAATTCTGTGTTGACTGGTAGCTTATAAAAGATGTCACCTGAACATGAGTACCTACTGTCCAGAGTCACAGACAGGAAATAGTCTTGTTACCTTCTAAATTAGCATTTTCCTGGAATACTTAACATGTTGAGGTGGGAGGATTACTATCTAAGTACATTATTTCTCTAAATAATAATAAATAGTATTCAGGAAATTTTGCAGAGTATGGAAGCATACTGCCTTCAAAAGGAGTCAATACAATTTGTTAGATGTCAACAGAGCTAATGATTAGGTGCTTATTATGAGTAAAGATGAGCTTTTAACTACTCAGAGATAATCTTTTAAACTGTATCCTAAACTGGCTATAATTAGTTATTATAGTCCCTTATTATTCCCTAATTTCAAGAACCAGGAATTCAGACAGATTGTTTTTTGTAGAGACATTAGGTGTTTTCAGTGGCATCTTTGAATGTAGACTGTTCTGAAGAAATCCCTCAAATGTACTACCTAAGGCTAGGTCTCTAGTGCTCTGGATGTGACCTACATCCTCATTAAACTTGACCTCATGGTCTCAGGCTAGATTCTCTTGACTTTACTCATCTTGCAGCATATAGACGTTTTATCACTTGTTTTGTGTTGATAATTTGTCTGAATTGAACCAGATCTTGTGTTCTGTGGTCACCGCCTCAAGAGGTAGGACCATTGCAAAAGCATGAAGTAAGTTAGGAAACGCTGGATGTGATTTCCAGCCATTCCAATGACTAGTTTTGTGGTCCTAGGCAAGTTAGACCCTGTCTTTGTTTATTAAAGATTAATAATTACAATTTCCTTCCAGATATTTTGTGTTGATCTTCTAGTCAAATAAATTTAATTTGATGTTCAGGTGCTCCTTGATTTATGATTTATTTGAAAATATCCTGAATTGAAAATGTATTAAATTGACCAAACCTTACCACCAGCCTAGCTTAGCACACAGTGCACTGCGAAGTTTTAGTCATTTCTCTTTGTGATCAAGTAACTTAACTGGGAGCTGTGGCATTGCAGATGGCTGGACAGCGAAAAGGAAACCCTGCTTCTGCTGAACATGTATTGCTTTCACACTGTGAAGCTAAAAAAATTATAAATGGAACCATTAAAAGTCAAGGACCATCTGGGGATCCAGTTTCTAGATACTATACCCTCAATACCAGAGAGATGGCACTTTTGAATGTAGACTGTTTTCTGTCTGTCTGTCTCTTTCTTTCTTTTACTTTCTAATGCCTAGCACAGAACCTGGTCTATACTAACATCTCAGTTGTTTCATGAGTGAGGAAAGAGAGCTGGGGAGACAGCTCATTGGCATAAGTGCCTGCCTGGCAAGCACAAGGTCCTGAGTTCAGTCCCCACTACCACAAAACAAAAAGAAGAGAATCCAGGACTGAAATGTACCATTCTGGTGGAAGATTAAAAATGATAACAAAGATTTTTATGTGGTTGGCATCAAAGTTATAGTGTCTTTTTTAGTGATTAAGTACTTTGGTTGGATATATAGATTTTGAGTATATGGTTAGTGGCGGCTGCAGGCTTTTGCCAAATATTTTAATTGGCATTAGTAAGTGACCCAATGAGTTATTATTTATTTGTATGTTTTGGGTGCAAATGACATTCTTTAAACATATTGAATTCTGTCTAGGCCATTCAGACCTAACCCAAAATTCATTGGAAATCCTGTGATAGTTGCCAGATGGGCAGGGAAAGTTTGAGAAAAAACATTGTTGGGCTAATGTCTTACTTGGAAAAGAGCATGATTCCTTTCCACAGACAGTTATACAAACCAAGACTGGGATATCAATGGTATGCTGCTTCTGGAAGCCACCCTAAATTCTGAAACCAAATAGAATAGTTGATTCACAAAAACCATCTCTTATCTCCTTTTTCCCCCCAGACTATAGAATCTAACTGGCGGTGTGGACGACACAACTTGCAGAGGATTCAGTGCCGCTCTGAAAATAGTAAAGGTGTCTACTGTTTACAATATGATGATGAAAAAATCATCAGGGGCTTACGAGATAATTCTATTAAGGTGAATGACTGCATCTTGTATATATTATTTTTAGAGTCATAGCTATGTGCCAGACACTAGATGTGACAATCTTTCCATTTCCTGCAGATTGGTTTTTATCTGTTCACTTAACTATGGCAGCTTCCAGGGTGCTTCTGAAAAGCTAGAGCCAGAGAATTTCCTTTTAATTAATAAAGACCCTGGCTTGTTTCACTTCTTAGCCTTTAAGTACTCTCACATGCAGTAGTCTATAGAGGTGTAAGTAGAAACTATCCCATTATCCCAGGACCCTTTATTTTTCTGACTGGTGAGAGTATTATTAGTTTGCCTGTAAGTCAAGGTCATTATCTATTACTTTTTTTTTTTTGCACAACCAGGGATTAAACTCAGGCCCTTCATTTGCCAGGGAAGCGCTTATTCCACTGAGCCACCCCCCTGGCCTATTACATAAATTTTGAGAAGGGCTCAGATGATAGTATGAAAAATGATAAAGTGACTTCAATTGTTTTCATTTTTAAATAGTTGACATTCTGCATTATTTTTCCATGTTTAATGTTTGATGACTGACCTGACAAAGTTTGTTTTACATTGTAACTTCTTTCCTCATGTTTAAGAAAGCATTAAAGATTTTGAAATGAAGTAGGTTTGTTTTAATTATAATTTACATATAAGAAAGTTTGCTGTTTGATATAAAGGAGACATGTAGAGGTGTACAAGTGTAATAACTAACAAGATACACAGCAGTTCTGCCGTCCCATCAGATCCCCTTTTCTTGTCCCTTTGCAATCATCTCTTCCTGCCCAGTTCTCCCCACACTTTGAAAACCAGTGATCTTTTTTTTATCTCTATATTCTTTTTCCCCTTTTTCATAATGTTTTCATTAGTAGGTTCATGTAATGTGTAACCCTTTTTTCCAGGAATTGAACTCAGGACCTTGCACTTGCCAGGCAAATGCTTGTACCACTGAGCTATATCCCTGGGCCAAAATGTAACCTTTTAAGTCTGGCTTTTTATATTTAGTATAGTGAATTGGAGATACATTTATATTCATTCTTCTTTATTGCTGAATAATACTTCATTTTATTGAGTACATTGTGCTTATCCATTTAGTATTTCAAGGACTCCTGAGTTGTTTACAGTTTCTCACAGTTGTGACTCAAGCTATTGTAAATCTGTGCTTTTAGATTTTTGTGAGAACATAATTTTCTGTTCACTTCAATAAAAACTTGTGAATAAACTGCCTGCTTACATGGTAAGATGATCTTGAGTTTGATGGTGACACCAAAAGCACAATGAAAGAAAGAATAAGCTAGAGTTCACTAAAATTAAAAACTTCTGCTCTGTGAGATATACTATCAAGAGCATAAAAAAGTTATAGATTAGAAAAATATTTGTAAAAGACATTTTAAAAAACATTTAAAACTCAACAATAAGAAAATAAATAACCACATGGAAAATGGGCAAAAACCTTAATAGACACCTGACCAGAAAAGATATCAGATAGCAACTCAGCTTGTGTAAAGACACTCCATGCCACATGGCCACAGGAAAGTGTAAATTAAAACAACAATGCGATACCACGTAAAAAAAAAGAGAGAGCACTATATATCTATTAGTATGGCTAAAATCCAGAACCCTGACAACACCAAATGCTGGCAGCGATATGGAGCAACAGGAACTCTTCATTTATTGCTCATAGAAATGTAAACTGGTACAGCTTCTTTGGAAGGCAGTTTGGCAGTTCTTATATAACTAAATATACTCTTACCATATAATCCAGAAATTGTACTGCTTAGTATTACTCAGAGGAGTTGAAAACTTAACGGCTACTCAAAAACCTGCACGTTATAACAGTTTTACTCATAATTGCCAAATTTGGCAACAACCAAAGATGAGTGTGAGTGTGTATATAAGTGTGTGTGTATACATAAAATATCTCTTTATCTACATACACAGATTCTAGATAATAGAACAGTTCGAATGTCTGAAAGGAAATTACATTAGCAAGCTGTGAAAGGTACAGAAGAACCTTAAATGCATATTTCTAGATTCAAATGTAGCCACCATCTTGAAAAGACAACATGGTATAGTTTTCAACTGCATGACATTCTAAAAAGACAACTATAGAGACAGCAAAAAAGGATGGAGAAAAAAAAAAAGAAACCAAA